ATGTTTACATATTGTACGAGTATTTTATGCTATACATTACACCATTGACATTGACATTGGACATAGTCCGTTGGTTTCTTCTGTCTGTGTTCCGAACCGATCTATAATTAGTGGGTGCTTTCAGTTATACATATATGTATACACATACAGTCGTATGTATCTGAAATACCATTAGATACATCAAAGTTAAGGGCAACACAACACGTGTGCTGAGGGCTCTGCTATTATATTTGTCTGCGGCTTACAGGGGCTTGATTGATTGTAACTTTTATTTCCGATAAGAACCTTCATAGCAATCATTGATTAGGACGTGCCTCCGAACGCACCATGAAAGCGATACATTCATATGTACATACATATATCTAGGTTTTTTTTATTCGTATTCTAACTTACGCATATATTACCTAACATACACCGCATTCTATACTGGCAGGGGCCGATGACGCTCAGTGTGGAGAATGGAGGCCAACTGTCGTCATGAATATGCGCCTCTGAAATATCCGCCATGAGTATTCCTACTTATACGGATGTACATACAGACATACATACGTATATAGTATAGTGCTCGTATACCTCAGACGTTGACAAATTTTGTGGCACAACTCAGGCATACCATACTCGATTCGCCGTTCCATTCTATTTCATTTCCATAGTATTACTGCAAAACGTTTTTTCGCCAAAAAGAAATTATATCACGCGCCTGATTTCCATATGCTTCTTGATTTATTTATTATTTTTTTTTTTTGGTCTTTTTTGTGTGTGCTGTGCTCGATTCAAATGATTTTCAATTGCTTACGTTTCGGCTTCAATGTGCGGTATACTGATGGATGGCATTTTAATGAAGCGTGAACGATGACAATCGATTGCTCGGGTTCGGAGTTCAGATTGCTTTTTGGGTGCGGCGATATGGCAACAAGTGTTTTGCTTCTGTTTCATATAAATAAGACTTAAAGGGGGCTCGTTCTTGATCTTTTTATTGATCTATTTCTCTTGTGCTCTATTTACTTACAGATCTATACCCCAGCAGACATCAAAATGGAAGTGTAAGTATAGCGATTTGTACATACATATAAAGTAATTTAAATGATGTGATAGATTGATGGTTTTTGATCGATTCTGGAAAATAAAAGAGTAAAGATTAGCTTGAAGTAGTATTTTAGTAAGATCTAGAAAGCTATAAGCCCAGAACTGCTGGGGGGTCCCTCAAATACCATATTGAGAAAAATTATTTTTTAAAGGACAACATAAATAAGAGTACTCAGGCGGTTAATGATATCGCTAGTAAAATGTTGTAGAATCAGCTCTAATTAGTATATTATTATCGTCTCTCTAATCGACAGTGAAATCGGTGAACCACCACAGCCGCCAGTGAAATGTTCCAACTTCTTCAGCAATCACTGGAAGGGCCTTGTGGTCTTTCTGGTTCCTCTGTTCTGCCTGCCCATAATGCTGCTGAACAATACACCCGTAAGTAGCTCTTAAACTACATTTAATCGATATAGAATCCAAGCCTTAAAAATGGTTAAACTCTTTCAGGAATATCGCTGCATGTATCTGCTATTGGTGATGGCCGTGTTTTGGGTGACAGAAGCCCTGCCCCTCTATGTGACCTCAATGATACCCATTGTGGCGTTCCCCGTGATGGGAATTATGGTGAGACTTTTATGCTCCTTAGCTATGAATGATTCCCAACTAAATTGTTGTTTATTTGTAGAGCTCCGATCAGACCTGCCGTTTGTACTTCAAAGACACGCTGGTCATGTTCATGGGTGGCATTATGGTGGCCCTGGCCGTGGAATACTGTAATCTGCACAAGCGCCTCGCCTTGAGGGTAATCCAGATCGTGGGCTGCAGTCCCCGTAGATTACACTTTGGCCTGATTATGGTTACCATGTTCCTGTCCATGTGGATCTCGAACGCCGCCTGCACGGCTATGATGTGTCCGATTATTCAGGCTGTGCTGGAGGAGCTGCAGGCCCAGGGCGTCTGCAAGATAAACCACGAGCCCCAATATCAAATTGTCGGGGGCAACAAGAAGAACAACGAGGATGAGTAAGTAGCCGAACAGGAAAGATAACTTTTATTATTATACTAATGCCTGATTAATGATTACCCCCCACCAGGCCACCATATCCCACCAAGATCACTCTTTGCTACTATTTGGGCATTGCCTACGCCTCATCGCTGGGCGGCTGTGGAACCATCATTGGAACGGCCACCAATCTCACCTTCAAGGGCATCTACGAGTCGCGTTTCCCCACTTCCACCGAACAGATGGATTTCCCCACATTCATGTTCTACTCGGTGCCAGCGATGTTGATCTACACATTCCTGACATTCCTCTTCCTGCAGTGGCACTTCATGGGCCTGTTCCGTCCCAAGAGCAAGGAGGCTCAGGAAGTGCAGTTGGGCAAGGATGGCGCCGATGTGGCCAAGAAGGTGATCGATCAGCGTTACAAGGAGCTGGGCCCCATGAGCATCCACGAGATTCAAGTGATGATTCTGTTTATATTCATGGTCATCATGTACTTCACCCGCAAACCTGGCATCTTCCTGGGCTGGGCCGATTGGCTGAACACCAAGTGAGTGCAAAAACTGCCATTCACCTATCGGTGGAACTGTACTAATACTAATACGTCTCTTCTTGATCCGCATCTTGCAGGGACATTCGCAACTCTATGCCAACTATTTTCGTCGTCATCATGTGCTTCATTCTGCCAGCCAACTATGCTTTCCTGCGCTACTGCTCGAGACGTGGCGGTCCTGTGCCCACGGGCCCGACCCCCTCTCTGATTACCTGGAAGTTCATCCAGACCAAGGTGCCATGGGGCCTGGTCTTCCTTTTGGGCGGTGGCTTTGCCCTGGCCGAGGGCAGCAAAGTGAGTGGCATGGCCAAGCTGATTGGCAACGCCCTGATTGGCCTGAAGGTCTTGCCAAATGCTGTACTCCTGCTGGTGGTCATCCTGGTTGCTGTTGTGCTCACGGCCTTCAGTTCCAATGTGGCTATTGCCAACATTATTATTCCCGTACTGGCGGAGATGGTGAGTTGATCTGTTGCACTCTTATCTGGATTGCATTTCTAATAATTGCACATTCCTTGCAGTCGCTGGCCATTGAGATTCATCCGCTGTATCTGATTCTGCCCGCTGGTCTGGCCTGCAGCATGGCCTTCCACCTGCCAGTGAGCACGCCGCCCAATGCTCTGGTTGCCGGCTATGCCAACATTAGAACAAAGGACATGGCCATTGCTGGAATCGGCCCCACCATCATCACCATCATTATCCTGTTTATCTTCTGTCAAACCTGGGGCCTGGTTGTCTACCCGAACCTCAACTCGTTCCCCGAGTGGGCGCGTCTCGCGGCCGAAGCAGCTGTCAACAAGACGCACTAGTTAGTTAGTCCTTAGTACTAGAAAAACATATTACACACCGAAACGTTAGGGAATTGTACAAGAAAAGTGCCTTTTGCTGAATGAAACAGAGCGAGAGAGAGATATATAGTTAGAGAGAGAAAGAACGAGAACAGAGCAGATGTTTAACAAGATATGCATTTCTGATTTGAGAACTTTTGATACAAATCATTGATTTTGTTTAGCAAAACGTGTAGCATACAAATGTGAGGAGAGAGCGTTATCAATGAACCAGGGTGGCAAAACCCCAGCGCTTTGCTCACGAAACTCAGCTAAATATTTAAATACAAATTAATGTTACTTAATTGTTGCATTTAGTAAGCAAAAACGAAGAAAGCATCATGAGAAACTACATTTAATGACCGACGCAGCAGTAGCAGCGGTAGTTTGCTTATATTTTTAATTACTAGACTGAGAGAACGTACATATTCAAGCATGTTTTGCAATTAATCAACAATTTTTGTAATGAATAACTTACTCAATATTTGATTGCAAACCGAAATGAGCACACAAATAGCCTTAGTTTAAGTTTAAATGATACTGTGTAAATTTTCAAACGATTTATGTTGTATATAGTTTTTAAAAGAAATCGAAGTAACAATAAAAAGCTCAACCAACAAATGAATGGAAGATTACAGTTAATTTCAAATATGAAACTCGATAGATGTCCTAAACATCGACGGTGCACTAACATATCCGATAGAAACGTTTGTATCGATACCTTTAGCAAAAAATAATTTTGGTCTTAAACTTTAATTAAAGACAGTGAAGCCTGCAAAAAAAATCACGATTCATGATATCTTAAGACTGAATCGTATGTTTGCTGGGATGGGCCAAAAAACAACAGAAAAATATTGTGCATACATATCGATATACTGTTAAGAAAAGGAGTGAACCGACGGTATATTTGCGGTTATAATGTTATATTTTGTCAATTCCTTCAATCTATTAAATTTCATGGTATATTTAAAAACAAATGGTATAGAAATTCAATAAAAGCTCGTGTTTAAAATAAGCCAGTCAAGTAGAAAATTGATTCATTAATCGTATAGAAATATGTGGGCAGGACTGAGAGATCTATCTAGCTAGTAATATTCGACGGAATATTAAAATCGTGGAATGTGTTTACAAGTAATTCTGTTTTCACACGGTAGATTGGTTCCTGAAAAAAACATCTAAGCAAAGAAACTGATCGTATGCACAAATAGGTGATTGGTTCCTTATCTCTAAAACCTATTAAAATATATTTCCGTATAACAATGTCTTTACCAAACACGTCTATTGCAAAAATGTAGTCCCCTTAAATTTCCACAAAACGGGAACTCCCCTAAATTTTTTCTAACTACAATTGCTCTGGCCAGTGAATTTGCTTGTATGAATGTATACGCAAAAAAACAAAAGAATCAAATATGTATGCATGTATGTTTGAGAGCTTTGTGTGGTTTGGAAACAGAATGAGGTGGAGCAGAACTTGAATACGTCAGTATATTTACGGTATATTTTTAAAATGAGTCGGTATATTTGGTATATTTCTGAGGGTGGGGCGGTATATTTTAACGATAAAGCAGCTGCATTTCTAAAGTGCAATAAAAAGAAAAGAAAAAAAGACAAGCTTGAACCAGCGGGATGACTACAGGACTGAATCTCACCGCCCGGGAGGTGCAGCAGGTTTTTGCAGAGATTCTTAGCCATGGCGAGGACATCACCTGGGATCTGTGAGTGGCCGTGCAATTTCCTTTGTTCCACCTGAAATCCTTAGATTGCCGATGATCTTTGACCTGACAGATTGCTGCAGAACCAAAAGGGCATCCTGAATAGCAAGATTGGAGAGATATTTAATTTTCAGTTTGGTACATCTGAGGCTATCTTTCCAAAAATTCTGGAATTTGTTTGGCTTCAAAGTAAGCAAACTCCGCAAATCGACAGTTTCGTGTTCCGTCAATGATTGCTTTGTGGTCTAAATACATTCAGGTAAATACACCAATGGCCAGTCCCTTTCTTCGCTGTTCTTTGTGCTTGTCGTGAATGGCGTGGCCGAATTGAATCTAGCGGAGAAGAGCAGATCCTGGTCGATCCATCCTGTTTTCCGCTGCCGTCGCTGCGTTGGTAACATCGTACATTGAAGCTCCATCACATTCCTTTAATTAGTCATTCCGCTTTCAGCCGACCAGAGTGGAGGGCACAGCAGCAGCCGGGATTGTTGCATGATCTATGTGGATCAGAGTGGCATCTATGATGGCTGGGATACATACTTAAAGCAGACGGCTCTGCCCGAAGGGATTATGGTAACCTGCGATCGAGGCATCTACAAGCTAATCGATGGCCAGGTTGAGCTGAAAACGTATTTGATAAAGGGTACTGGACGTTCCCCAATTAGGGGTTGCCACTTAACTTCTGAACGTCTGGCGGCCTCGGAATCGCCTGAAGTGCATCGGATTTACATGAAAGAGGAACCTAATTGTTTAATGCACTTTTATGACGTAGACACTATAAGAGCGCGCGAAAAAGTGCTATATCTGCTACTGGTACGCATCGTAGGATAACCTTATTCTATCCGGTATACATATATGCAAACTCTTCTTTTGTGCTCCCTCAGAAACATTTTGATGGCGAGAAAGTCGATTTTTTGAATGCGAGGCTGCTCTCCGAGTGGTTGGTTCTGTTCACGCACAGTGTCAATAACTTTCGTCTGGCATCCGAAATGGTCAATATGGGCACTTATCGGAGCACCTTAAGCAGCCACGTACAGTAAGATATAAGCTATCCATTCACGAACGCTAACGAACGCTAATTTTGGTTGCAGGAACATCTTTGACAAGATCTCCAAGGAGGCCAAGTCCGTTGAGGAGTCCACTGAAGGCAGACTGGACCTCATACGCAGCGCCAATGTAATTCCCACAAAAAAGGAGCTACAAAAACTATTTAAAACTCGTGGAGCTAGTGTCTGCACCAGCGAACCGAAACTACCCGCAGAACCCAGTAAGGTGCCCCCAAATCTGCTGCAGATCCGTTCAATCACCGTCGAGGGTCAGGACATCCAATTGGCAGATTATGGAGAAGCTATCATTGAGCACATCTCAAGCACTGAGAGCTTCGAGGATCTAATCAGCAGCATGGCCAAATACTGGAAGCTGGACATGTGTAAGCTGATGCTGCAAATGACGCAGACCTTTGTCGAAAGCACCAGAAAGGAGCTCTGGCTGCTGCTGAAGTACAGCTACCCCACGGAATCGGTGCTATATCAGATCGTTCTCCAAACACTTAAGCACCATAGGAGCTTGAACTACAAAAAAGTCTCGGAGGCAAGCCCCGATATCCTGAGAAGCGTACGGTGCTTTTTCGTCTCATGCAGTCCCAACTGTCCCCCAGAGTTTCTGAATAAGTGCCCCAAGTGCGTGGGCTACTACAATAAGGGAACGCGGCAGGTAGTTGATAGATCTGATGATTATTGGGATATCTAATATGCCGTATACATACACATATACCATGCAAAGCATTTGGGTGGGTAATACACCCATTTTATATAATTATTTCTTACTGCTCGAACCCCTGGGTATTTTTTTATCCTGTAATAATAAATATTTTCGTATGACATCTATTATAATATGCTATTGAACAACAATATTCAAAGAACTATCAACCATTCCAGTATCTTTTATGTGTATTCTATAATACGTAAAACAATCGGAGGTGTTCACCCATGTACGTTATTAGATATATGTACGTACGTATACGAGGAGAGAGATAGCATGCGAGACAGAACACGAAATAAATATCTCTCGCTCCCGCAGGAGAGATTTGTACGGCACCAAGAAGAGAATCGAAGCCAGCACACTGGAATTGAGCAAGCAATCTCATTTCATTAGAGATTAGTGAATCCCCACGGGGAAGCGATAAGCATGCCGGTAGGAAGAGGGGGTTTACCGTGGCGTAAGACAGCCTACTGACACGCTGAAAGCCCTTGTGCCCAGTGCCGTTCTGCACTGCCTGCTAACATCCAACAGACGCGACGCTCACTGAGGACAGGCCCAGATCCGGCTTCAATGTCGAGTAGATGGACATGGACCCAAAGGAGACTAGGAGGGTTAGTGCTCGCGGGTTTCTTTCCTGAGGCATCAGGCAGTATTGGGGGTCCCATCTTATATCAACAACAAATAAAGCCAGTCGCGCTTTGTATCAAAGTATAAAGAATTTATTATATATCCATTGCATATAAATGTGTGTTCGTGTAAAGCTTACGACAATTTTGAATATCAAAACAAGACAGATAACAGATTAATGCCCGCAACCAAGAAGCCAAGAAGCCTTCCGCTCTTGTTAGTCAAATTCGTGGTGGTAGAAGATCGTGTTGGAATGGGGGGAGGGGGGATGGGATGTTAACAGCAATATAAACCGTAATTAAGGCCAATAACCAAGTCGCAGTTCGAGCGGGGTGGTGCTTAGAACTTTGAGGACTTGGCCAGGTTGAGGGCCTCCGTCAACATGCGACCAAAGTCGGCGTGCACCTGGGTAAAGTTCTTGACGGCCCGCTCCTGCAGGAACTGGCTGGCGTTGTTCAGATGGCCGGCAATGTTCGCCACCAGACGCTTCCTGGCGCAGTTGTCCAGCGTGTGCACCCAGAAGTCGGTGACCTGGCCATAGTTGTCCTCGGTGTCGCCGCTGCTGTAGCGGTACACGTCCCCGGTGACGGGGCAGCAGGTGGACAGGGCACGGGCCCGGGGACACTCCTGCGGTCCGTTGAACGAGTTGGGGAAATAGTTGGGGGCACCGTCCTGGTTGTCCGTCACGTTCATCAGCCCATCGCGCTGGAAGTTGTTCACCTTCACGCGGTAGGGACAGTTCACGGGGATCTGCAAGTAGTTCGGCCCCAGGCGATGGCGGTGCGTGTCCGAGTAGGAGAAGAGACGGCCCTGCAACATCTTGTCGGGCGATGGCTCAATGCCGGGCACCAGGTGGGCGGGGCTAAAGGCGATCTGCTCCACCTCGGCGAAGTAGTTCTTGGGATTGCGGTCGAGCACCAGCTTGCCAACGGGGATCAGGGGGAACTCCTTGTGGGACCAGACCTTGGTCACGTCGAAAGGATTGTACTTGAACTTCTTGGCCTCCTCGAAGGTCATCACCTGGATGTACATGGTCCAGCTGGGGAACTTGCAGGTCTTGATGCGATTGTACAGGTCCCGAATGCTGTAGTCCGGATCGCTGGAGGCCAGCTCATCGGCGGCCTTCACGTCCAGATTCTTGATGCCCTGGTCCGTCTTCATGTGGAACTTGGCGTAGATCGGCTCGCCCTTGGCGTTCACCAGCTTGAACGTGTGCGATCCATAGCCGTTCATGTGGCAGTAGCCGTCGGGAGTGCCACGATCACCGAACAAGAAGCACACCTGGTGCGTCGACTCCGGGCGCAGGGTGAGGAAGTCCCAGAACATGTCGGGATCCTTCAGGTGCGTCTGCGGATTGCGCTTCTGGGTGTGTATGAAGCTGGGGAACAGGATTGGGTCGCGAATGAAGAAAATCGGGGTGTTGTTGCCCACCAAATCCCAGACACCATCCTCCGTGTAGAATTTGACGGCAAATCCGCGCGGATCACGGGCCGTATCGGCCGAGCCGCTCTCGCCACCCACCGTAGAGAAGCGAATGGCCAGGGGTGTGCGCTTCTTGACCTTGTCGAACATCTTGGCGGCACAGTACTTGGAGATGTCGTGCGTCACCTCAAAGTAACCAAAGGCGCCAGCTCCCTTGGCGTGGACCACACGCTCGGGAATCCGCTCGCGATCGAAGTGCGCCATCTCATCGAGGAAGTTCACGTCCTGCAGCAGCACGGGACCACGTGGACCCACAGTCTGTGTGGCATCCTTGATGCCAATCGGCGATCCATGTCCAGTGGTGATCGATCCCGGCGACACCTGAAACGAAAGCAATTCCAGTCTTTGTTAGTTGCAATTCTCTGTCTCTCTATCTCTTTTCGGTTGCATAACCGAATGCCATTTCGGTGCTCAAAGTATCCCTCCATACAGCCATCCATCCCGCAGCCCAATCTTATCTAATCCCCTTATCGCTCTAATACTTATTTTTGGGAACGGACTTTCGTATTTTGTTTAGAAAGGTAGGTGTGTGTCTGTGTGTGTGTGTGTGCCCGGCACCCGGCATTCGGCACGAAAACATAAACATAAAGATTGCAGGCACTTATCGAAGCGGCGGTGTACGCATTTGTATATATAGGCGTGCCCTGGGGGGTCACATTGTGGGGCCAAAAATATTTACCATTCGTATAAAAATTGAGCATATGGAGGGGGGATGGGGGAAATGAAGTCCAATTGTCACGATTTTCGAGTTGTATTTTTATGGCCAGAAAGATTGCAATTCTTAGTCTTTAGAGCTGGCCTTTCCCTCTGACCATTCCTTCGCTGCGAGTTCTTCGGCGTTGGGTTCTCCCAGCAACCCACCTTCCAGAGATTACTTCCTATATTTCTACTTCTGGGTTTCTCAGTCATTTAATGCGTATTTCCCTAAACGATATATATTATCTCTGTCATCAGAGCATACCGATTAATTCAATTTCCCCATGGGTGCAGCAGCCACGCCACTCCTTGATCCCCTTATCGTTTATTCCACATGCAAGCCAGCCAGCCAGCCAGCTAGCCAGCTAGCCAATTCATTATGGAATCAGTTTTGCCCAACAATTTGCACAAAGCGTCGCCCGTTAATGGAATCATCTGAGAGATGAGAGATGAGAGAGCGCAACGCCATGTGAAATGATAATTTGAGGGCATTTCTGGAACAATAAAGTGCATACAAAGGTTGTATATCAAAGTGGAGCCTCTTTTCTCTGTTTATCTGGCGATGTGTCAGAAATATAAATTAGCTGATGCTTTTTTTATTTCACAACAAAGTCATTTAGACGTTGTGTGGGGATTACTGTCTGGCTAATAATACTAGGATATAAAAATGTTGTTTTTCGGAATTATATCTGGATTCTTTCGAACTTAAAAGAGGAAAGAATGAAGAGCGATGAAGTACTTGTTTCTAATGTCGAAATAAAATGCGATTCGATTAGATCGCTTCCTACATATAGTATCTTTTCTAATGCAAATCGATTCGATTCGTTTCGTTTCCTTACCTCACCTTTTTGCTGAACCCTCCTCTGAATTCCTAATTTTCTGCATTCCTCATCGCACTATTAACTTTTCTGCACTCTCAATTTCTTGCATTTCTTTTCGCTTCAATCAGAATAGAACTGTTTGCACTTTGAGACTACGCATAACAATGGTGGGGCCACACATCAGAGGCCAGGCCAGATAGTGGAGCAATCAATCTGTACTGTGTTGCATGCAAACAGACAACAGACAACAGACGACAGTCGACTGATAATGCCCCACACTCGATCTACAAGAATGCAAAATACATAAAGACCAAGGTATGGAGCATACGGGAGTATCTGTATCTACATATATGTACTTGTAGGAAAGTTTTTTAATTGCAGCTTGTCGCGGAGATAATTGGAAGGGAATCGATTGGAATGCCATGGCATGGCATGTAAACGTTGCGACGTTAATGAGGCAGCGGCAAGGCCTATAAGATCCGTGCAAGCAGAGTAGCAGAAAATGCAGAACCTTTAAATGTTCAACAATTTATAAGAATTTTTGTATTGTATTTTATTACAGACCTTAAATATGACGAAAGTAAAGCTAATTATAAAGAATTCCCCCTCTCATTGTTTGCGGCATTCTTAGCCATTAAAAGACCTTCGCGATCTTTCGAAAAATCCCTGAAACTCAAGAACCCATTGGATTTCTATGGTTTCCTCGGCATTCTTCAAATGATTCAGTACATGTGTAAAAGACTCCATTGCCATCCTGTGAACCGAACCGAACTGAACTGAAATGAGTGTTTGGCTAAAACAAAGGCAAATGGCTAATTGCCTGACAAAATGCAGTTTTCATAGTTTCGTCATAGATGGCCGGATTCGAGTGAAACAACACGAACGAATCGACTGGGCGGATTGCCTCTTTTCTGGGTCATTTCCAAACATATTCTCACATAGCCCGGGGCCGGGCGTTCCAGCTCAATTGCATAACCAAATTAGAGAAAGAAAATTTGCTCCAAACGCACGCATTTTCCTTACACGGACCGGCCCCGGCCCCGTCCCGTCCTGTCTGTCTGTCTGTCCTCCTTTCTACCTTTTGGCTCGAAACGAGTTTCTTGGCCCAGGCCCGAGTCGTTGTAACTGATCGTCGCATGGAGCCATTGCAACCAGTTTATGCAACATTGAGCGGCGAGAGTCCATTGACTTGCAGCGCGCGATTTTTCCAACCCAACCTCAAAAACCTGCAACGGTTCAACCAACTTTTCTCGGCCCTCGCGCACTCTCGCGTGTGCCTTTTGTCTATATACAAAAATTGCATTTAATTGCTTTTTGTTTTTGTTTTAAACAGAAGTAGAGCTGTTGCCTTAATTGATCCGCTGGCTCAATGTTGGCCAATGGCCACAGCTCGAAAGTTCTGGCCAAGGCTAAAATGGTGCCCTGCAGCTAATCAGATATTGCCTGTCAGATCTAATCTTTTTGGGGCAATTACTAAGCACAAAATGTCAGTTGTATTATCGATTTATGGGGCATGGAAATGGAAATGGAAATGGATTGGAGTTATTTGTGGTCTCTGGATTTCAGTCCTTTTACCCATTTCTTTTATTCTTCTATCATTTACAATACTTTCAATATTTCGTGCCATAATTTTCCGGGCACGATTTTCCCATTCGAATGCTTTCAAAACTAAATCTAAATTAAAAATATGGTGCACGTTGCTCAACAAAAGCGAGAGCGAGTAATTAACACAAAAGTGGTAATAACTAATTGCCAATAAGAGGGAAAGAAAAATTGAAAAACATTTGGGCAAAGGTTAAACAAGGTTAGAAAAGAAATGCAGTGCAAAAAAGTGAAAAATTTACATTTGTATGGGCAATACTTCAGTTTCTGCAGTGCCATATACTTTGGATTAGGTTCAGACTTTCATAAATCCAAAAACTAAATACGATAAGCGTTATCAACAGAACTGATAAGAGACAGAACTACTCTCACTCCCTCTCTCTCTCTCTCTCTGAAAGGAGCGGGCGGTGCACAGCTGAGAGGCGGCGGCTACTTGAACTTTGATCTCCTGTACAGAGAGAACTTGCTTGCGAAATTTGGTAACATTTGAAAAAGTACAGGCTCCACGTAGCGCATTCATTGATTTAATTGTGTTGTTTTTTGTTTGAGCTTTGAATAATAATTATTTTTGCACTCCGCTTTGCCTTTCCTTTCTCTTTGTTTTTCTCCTTTCCTTCCATTTTTCGGGGCCCGGCACTTGCACACACACACACAAACAACTTGCACACACAAAAAAAAAAAAATGCAATCATACGGCTCCCTCTCACTCCCCTCCCAATCGAACTCCCACTCACCGTTTGGGTGTTCTTGTAGTCGATCAATTGATTCGAAGCAGCATCGCGTGCAGCCATCTTGTCTTCAATTTAGTTGGATAACCAGAATTTAGATGTTCAAAATAAGTTTAGAGCACTGTCGGCTGAGGTTCCGTTTCTAACTGCTTTGCGTTTGTTGTGAGCGCCTCAAAAATTTGTCAACTAAAACAACTGCAACGCAGTTCGGTTTGTTTATATAGGGCACAGATGTTTATTATTTTTTGATATCGATACATATCGATATATTTTTTGTTGATAATATATATTGGGATATATTTTTGGATATTGATTTGGATATATTTGTGGGTTGGAATATATTTTCAAGGAAATATAACTAATTTTTCGAGTTCAGGCACTAAAAATACAGTACAGGTATATAGAAAAAGTACCAACAGAATTTTGTGCAGCAACTTCCATGTCCTCGGCTTTGGGATCTGTCGCGTTCGGCTTTGGTACCTGTTGCGTTCGGCTCACGGTTGAACCCCAAAAATAAAAAAATGCGCTGCTGGAGAAGTAAAGACGATAGCAAATACACAATGGTAACAATTTTCAATTATATTACAGCTTAGGCTCAAGTGCCTCTCAATTTTCGAGCGTGTCCGATTCGACGATTCGTGCAATTAAATTTCATATCTGGAAATGAAGGACTTCTGATATTTATGATATATTCAAGATGTTGATGCCCTCTAATTTGTCAAATCTTTGTAATTTAAATTGTTTTATGGTAAAAGTGGCTTATCTAAGTTGCAGCTTGCAATACATTTTTATTTATTATTTGGGGTAATTGCATAAATAAAATACGAATTAAAAAAAAAAAAGCGTTTTCAAATTTGATTTAGTTAATCGAATACAATGTTGAAATACACAATGGTAACAATTTTCAATTATATTACAGCTTGGGCTCAAGTGCCTCTTAATTTTCGAGCATGTCCGATTCGACGATTCATGCTATTAAATTTCATATCTGGAAATGAAGGACTTCTGATATTTATGATATATTCAAGATGTTGATGCCCTCTAATTTGTCAAATCTTTGTAATTTAAATTGTTTTATGGTAAAAGTGGCTTATCTAAGTTGCAGCTTGCAATACATTTTTATTTATTATTTGGGGTAATTGCATAAATAAAATACGAATTTAAAAAAAAAAGCGTTTTCAAATTTGATTTAGTTAATCGAATACAATGTTGAAATACACAATGGTAACAATTTTCAATTTATTACAGCTTGGGCTCAAGTGCCTCTTAATTTTCGAGCGTGTCCGATTCGTGCTATTAAATTTCATATTTGGAAATGAAGGACTTCTGATATTTATGATGTTTTCAAAATGTTGATGCCCCCTAATTTGTCAAATCTTTGTAATTTAAATTGTTTTATGGTAAAAGTGGCTTATCTAAGTTGCAGCTTGCAATACATTTTTATTTATTATTTGGGGTAATTGCATAAATAAAATACGAATTAAAAAAAAAAAAGCGTTTTCAAATTTGATTTAGTTAATCGAATACAATGTTGGAATTACAGCTACGAGCGTTCAGTACAGATACAAAAACATAAGAAAATAATAAAGTTACACAACCTTCACAGAAGTCACCAGCTTCGAGCCCTTTCTTAATTTGGCTCAACGAAAAAAATGTCTTAACATTGTGGTGCAGTATTATGCCACAATTTTGTAAATAAAAAAAAAATTACAAGACTAGAGTATCATCCGCCTGTGGTCCCTGCTAGATAGATATCCATGGCCGTCTTGTTAAGGTGCACCACCTGGCGTCGTTTCGGTATCGGCTGGATGTGTGGCAGCCGCGTCCCATTCACCGCATTCAGGCTCAGATCCGAATTGGCATCGTCGTCATCGCTCACAGAGTATCTGTGTGATGCCTGTGCGACGGGCTGTGCCTCTGGCATTGGATGCGAGCGCTTGCGTTTTCCTGCCGCCGCCGCGCTAGTTGTGGGCATATTATCATCGCTGTCGCTCGAGGGTGAGGGTGTACGGACGGGTACGGGTGTTGGTGGCTTAGCAGCCGTCGCTGTGGCCGTCGCCAGTCTATTTATGATTGTGCTGGACGTCATCGAGGTGACCTCCGACGAGGAAGTAAGCAAGTCCTGACGCTGACTGGAGCTCACGTCCGAGATGCTCTCGGCCTGCTGCTTTTGACGATGCTGGATTGCATGTTTCAACTTAAACCTGTAGATCTTTCCCAGTGTCTTGTAGCAATCCATGCAGAGCGGAGTATCCCGTCGCAGTTCCGGATTGATGTTGAGTGCAAAGTGCCGCATATTTGAATCCTTAATTGTGGTGTTGGGCGTCTTGAGCAAATGGTTGCCCAGGCCGCAGTACCGCCGCTCGGCCACTTTCGATGTTTCACCTGTTTCGGGTGGCATCTTCTATGCGAAATACTATATTATTATTCTATTTTTTAATCAATTTCCCCAGACTTACTATTGTTTTTACTTTTTTCCCGCCCGAAATTCCACGCTATTAATAAAGCGTCCTACCGTCAGATATATACCGTCTCACTTAAAAAATATACCGTAAATATACTGACGAATTAAAGTTATATTTTACATATTCCTCGTTTTCTTTCTTCCGTTGAATATTACTAGCTATATAGAATATTTAGCCATGCAATCATAATTTTATACGATTTTCTAATTGACTGGGTTATTTTAAACACTTTCTTTTATTGCATTTTGCGTAAAAAGAGGTTTTAGCAAAAATATTCAAACAAAAAAAGGTATTAGCGAAAAAGGTCACACAAAATAACGAAAGGGAATAATCGGTCATATTCCTCGTTTTCTTTCTTCCGTTGAATATTACTAGCTATATAGAACATTTAGCTATGCCATCATAATTTTATACGATTGATGAATCAATTTTCTACACAATTGGTTAGTTTCTAGTCCTTGCTTTTACTGTATTTTGACTAAAACAAGGTTTGAACAAAATAGTTCAACAAAAAATCAGTCGCAATGTTGCTGGTATTTGAAGACATGATGCGTGTATAGGCCTTTGTGCACCCTATTTCGTTAATTTTATATGTAGCTCAAACGCAATTTACTAAGACCTTTTCTCAAATTGACATTTTTTTGACTTATTCATGTGTATTATTAGTATCTTGTATATATTTATGTCGATCCTGATACCTACTGAGCCTGCGATGACAAACATTTCCTCAATTCTATAACATCCATTTCCCCCAGGGTATGTGTGCATGGAATTAGCAACATGTTTGTGTATGGAATGAGACTCATTGTTGCAAAAGCGAAACTGCGGCGAATCGGGTATTGCCTATATTTTAAGCTATATAGATTTGCTCACTTAGCTTTATCCCATAGATAAATGCATTTTCTACAAGATTGCTTCTTTTAATTATCTAAATGTATTTTATTTTGACTAAAATACGGTTTTCAAGTAAATGTTGCCGCAACTTTTGTGTATGGAATGAGACTCATTGTTGCTAAAGCGAACTGCGGCGAACTGCGGCGAATTAAAATTCCTCATATTCTTTGTTCCGTTAAATAATACTATCTATATGGAACATTTAGCCATGCCCACTCAAATTTATACGTTTGATGAATCAATTCTATACATGATTGGCCTATTCGAAATACTTGCTTCTATTGGATTTCTATATAACATTGAAAATTAAATTAATTATTGACAAAAATACCATGGGAGCGCGGCGAAAACCAGTATTTCTACAGTATGACCCTCAGAACAGCACCGAAATATACGGTCTCATTTGAAAAATATACCGAGTGGTGCGCGCCAAATCTAACTTTTTTGAATGTGAGCGACAAGGATTTAAATGTTGTCAACCGGGCCTTTATCTATGCCCACATAATTTTATACGATTAATGAATCAATTTTTTACTTAACTGGCCAGTTTTTAGTCCTTGCTTTTATTGTATTTTGACCAAAAAACGGTTTTCAAGTAAATGTTGCCGCAACATTGTGTATGGAATGGGACTCATTGTTGCTAAAGCGAACTGCGGCGAACTCAAATTCGATTCAAAAAACGACCAATTCTTTGTTCCGTTGAATAATACTATCTATATGGAACATTTAGCCATGCCCACTCAATTTCGTACGATTGATAAATCAATTCTATACATGATTGGCCTGTTTGAAATACTTGCTTTTATTGGATTTCTATATAACATTGAAAATTAAATTAATTATTGACAAAAATACCATGGGAGCGCGGCGAAAACCAGTATTTCTACAGTATGACCCTCAGAACAGCACCGAAATATACGGTCTCATTTGAAAAATATACCGAGTGGAGCGCGCCAAATCGAACTTTTTTGAATGTGAGCGCCAAGGATTTAAATGTTGTCAACCGGGCCTTTAACTATGCCCACATAATTTTGCACGATTGATGAATCAATTTTTTACTTAACTGGCCAGTTTTTAGTCCTTGCTTTTATTGTATTTTGACCAAAAAACGGTTTTCAAGTAAATGTTGCCGCAACATTTGTGTATGGAATGAGACTCATTGTTGCTAAAGCGAACTGGGGCGAACTGCGGCGAATTCAAATTCCTCATATTCTTTGTTCCGTTGAATAATACTATTTATATAGAACATTTAGCCATGCCCACTCAATTTTATACGTTTGATGAATCAATTCTATACATGATTGGCCTATTCGAAATACTTGCTATTATTGGATTTCTATATAACATTGAAAATTAAATTAATTATTGACAAAAATACCATGGGAGCGCGGCGAAAACCAGTATTTCTACAGTATGACCCTCAAAACAGCACCGAAACATACCGTCTCATTTAAAAAATATACCGTAAATATACTGACGAATTCTAGTTCTATTTTGCATATTCCTCGTTTTTGATATTCCGTGGACTATTCTTAGCTATATAGAACATTTAGCCATGCCCACATAGTTTTATACGATTGATGAATCAATTTTCTACTTGATTTGCTTATAACGTTAAAAATGATATTTAATAGATTGATGAAACTGGCAAAATATACCATTATATGCCGATATACCGTGAATATACTGACGAATTCAGGGTATTTTATACATATTCTACACGGTTGCAACACACTTGCTTCATAATGGGAGGAAAAAGAGGGTATGGACTACATGCAAAACGGCCCAGAATATGCAACGCATGCAAGGTAAAATTCACCCCACTTGCTCAATATGCCTTGAAGAGAAATAAAACCATGGGAAGGTTCGTACGAAACATGTAATTTGCCTTGGATGTTTTTGCCTGTTGTCCATACCCTTTTTTATAGCCCAATCAATACTATAAATATACCTTCGTCTCAATGCCGCGGTCAAAAAATTTCCGAAATATATATTATACCGTAAACGGTCATTGCTTGCCCGATACGATGTTACGATATTAGAATATCACTCGATTTTTCTATCGAAGGAGTGCCATCGCCAGCAGTACGAATTTTTCCACAGATAGGCGCTAGGTGGCGCTACACATGTATTTGAGTCATCAATATTTAAAAATCTAATTTTCAAAATTTCTCTCAATGTCAACGTTACGCTGTATAGTTTATTAAAAATAAAAATAAATAAACGCAGTATCTATACTCCATTGAAATATCTGTACATATTCAATTGTTAATCAATTTTTTTATTAACTTACCTTATAAATAATTTCGATGGCTTGATGACTTTATCAAGGCTATAAAATCAAATCGTATACCCATACCCGAACGATTTTTCTCTATATTAAGGCAAAAATCGTTGAAACTCTTTTCGAATTTTGGAAAATTTTCAGATTTCTGATTTATAAAGAGCAGCAATGAAAAGAGAGGCCGTTTTGTTTGAGTGTTTTCCCTTGCCTGTAATTGCTCGGGGCAGAGTGTGACCAGGTGCACATGCTTGACTGACACTGTTATGTGTTTGTTTACAAAGAATGTATTATTTGTGGGCACAGTGGAGCTGGAGGACGAATAAGTCAGTACCGAGTATAAAACTAATAATTTATAAGATAATCGGCTGTCATTCGACTGCCTTAATGAGACTAAATTTGTCTTCATTATTGCATTTTTGTAGCCATTTTTTGGAGGCTAGAAAATACAGTCTTTGCTTTTCCAGTATTTATCGGTTGCCTTTCTAGTATTTTTGCCGAACGAAATGCATTTTATCGGTTCTGTACGAGTATCATCCCTGATTCGGTCGTACGGCAGTCCAAACGCAAAACCCAAAACAACTCGAACGAGGTTTGAGCGGCGTTTTGCGTTTTGCATTGAGTTTTTTTTCCGTACAAAACGCAATCACCGTCGAACCTTACTCCGAATCCAGCTCGAACCTGGTTCGAGCGCGAGTGATGCCGTTTTTCCCATACAAAACGCAAAACTCATTTGTTTTTTCATCGGTATTTTTTTGTCATTCTCTTTGTCCCGTTCGTTCGTCGATTTCTCGTCTCTCGTAGTGATTTCTTTAACAAAAATTCAAACATATACACACCATGTATATATAAATATATATTTAATAAATTTAGTGCAACATATACACGCATAATAAGAACCCCCCGTTTAGGCTAAATATCAAGTGCAATCCCCCCCAAAAACTACCAAAAGGCAATTCAATTTACGTAAAAGACAAAACAAAAAGAAAAGAAGTGAAAAAACGGCGCGTGTGAAATTTTTTCAACGAAGAGAAGTTGAAGCAGCCGCAGCACAGCAGAGGAGAAGCAGAGCAACAGCAGCAGCAACAAAAAGAAGAGAAAAATACAACTACAAAATTCCCCACACACAAAGTAGGCCAACAACAACAGCAAAGCAAAAGGCAAACGTAAAAGCAAACAGCAACAACAACAACAACAAAAAGCAAGACAAGAAACCTTGTAATTGTGTCAATAAATGTTTTTTGTTTTTTTTTTTTTTTTTCGTAAATTGTGTTTGTTTCCTTTTTGGAATGTGGAATTTTATTTGATTTACAAAATATTCCAAAAAGCGTGAGAGTGTGCATGTGTTTTTGTGTCTGTGGTGCGGCGCGTCTCGTCGAGACAAGTGAAATTTTCTTTGTTTCCCAGGGGCACGAGCGCGGGGGAGGAGTGAAGAAATGAAGTTGCCTTGAAACGGCATATGCTCCTACTCCTCTCCTCTCCCCCTTGAACCGAATTCGATGTGTCTGCCTGTGTTGAAATATGTGTACGTGTGCGTGAGTGTCTGTGTGGCAATGAACCGTTCCATTATGAGTTTTTTTTTTTTTGTTTTTGCTGTTTGCTTTGCATTTATATGTAAAAAAAATATGTTTTACTACAAAAATTTAAGTGTTTAATAGAGTTTTCAAGGAAAATGTGCAACAAGAAGCCGCCGTTAGGGAGCAGGACCAGCAACAACAATAAAATTAAGGCTGCTGGACAGGTTTCCCACGGCTAAAGAAAACAACGAGGAAAAGAAGAAGGAGTAGGAGGAAAAGAAAGAGAAGCAATGCGTGCCCCGCCGCGAAAGCAAAGTGAAATTCATGACAAAAGCAGCAACAACAGAAGCAATATAGCGGCTAACCGAAACCGTTATTCAACAATTTCTTGAATCAAAAAAGAAACAAATCCAACAACAACAAAATACAAGTGAAAGAAGCCACCAAATACTGGTTTTTAACAACGAAAAAAGGCAAAAAGAAAGAAAGAAAGAGGGAGAGAGAGAGAGGGAGAAAGAAAAAGTTGCTGCACGAGAAATCTCTCCATGTGTGCTTGTGTGAGTGTGAGAAAAGTAAAGTAAAGTGAAAAGCAATGCTTAAAGGAATTACAACAACTAAAAGGCAAAGCTTACGTCGAGTGTTGTTACACTAAATAACTGTAAAAGCCGCCCCAAATAACAAGACGGAAAGGAAAGGAAACGAACGAAGGAAAGGCACCCCCGCGTGGGCGGGATTGGCGAAGAAAATATTCAACTTTAAAACATCAGCCTATTTCAAGGGCTCCCCCACACATTGGAGGTACACATGCAAACATTTATACCAACATATGTACATACATACATACATGTACATATGTTCATATATTTATATTTAAGCTCTTCAAATAGTTCCTCCTCTCTCTCACTCTCTTGGAAAACATAATCTAATGAGTGCGTAGCATAATTAAGCTGTTGCTGTGTGTCTTGGCAGAGAGAGCCAAGCACAGTGTGATAGAAAGAGAGAATTGATAATTGTGTTGGTGTTGCTCTTCTTTCTTTACTTCTTCTTTTTTTGGGAGCATGCGAAATGGCTACAGGTGGCTTATTTACAGTTACTTTGAGCTTGCCTTCTGATAAGCACAGCTGCTGCTCTTCTCGCTGCTCTCCTTTCACGCCTATTCGTTGGTGAGCAGGAAAGAGAGAGAGGGAGAGCTCTCTGTTTTTGACATGAGCATAACGGCTCTAGCTGGTCAGTAGGTGTCGTTTTGGGGTGTTTTATTGAATATTAGCTAAGGGCCTGTAAAACCTGTAAGATGTAAGGCAGAAGGGAAACCCTTTGTGGTTAAAAATGAGCTTTAGTATTCAGTATATGTAAACTTATGTAACTTGTTCCGATTAAACAGTTTAAACCAGTTTAAGCAGTAAAATAATCTCGTCAATAACTATATCTATACCCCATAGATACTTTCTCTTTTCTATATATTCAACATTACTTAATTGCAGGCCATAAGCCGCTCAATAGAATTCCAATCGAATAACCTAACAGGTCGTTATGCCAGCCCTTAACATTCCGAAATAATAACAAAATAACAGTCATACGTATTACGTATGCATCCAACAAATATTGAAATATTTAAATACCGTATAATTGCATATCATCGTCATGCACTCTCCCTTGGCAAAATATCTGGAATACCGAGAACGTTGTTGTCCGTCTCCCCTCCATCGCTGACCACCCCCACCCACTTTAGCGTCACGTTTCTCTGTTCGGTTTTCTGTTATCAGCTTGTAAAGAGTGTGTGTCTGTGTGTGTGTGTGTGTGTGTGTGTGTGCGCGCGCGTCTCTATCGCTCTGTCCCTCTCTGTAAATAGTCCAACTGATTCATAAATTACTCAGATCAAACAAAATAAATAGCACACGGAAACCCACACAAACTATACCCATACATCTATGCAGCCCTCAAAAATATGTGTATATATGTATATGTGTGTTTGTGTTTTCCTCGATTTTAGCTAATCTCGATTGACATCAGGCAGAAAACCGTTTACCAAAACTGATAACAAAACAGAAATAAAAAAAAAAATAATAATACAAATGCTTACAATGTGTCGTCTGGCTCCCCTGAGGACTGGACTGTGTCGGTTGTACCTTTTTAATCTTTGGGTAATTTTAGGGTATATTATTTTGTATACCTGATTATGGTTCATATACATACATATGTATATGTATACATATTCTTGAGAAATATATAAAGATCGATCTTCAAGGCAACATCATTGCCGATGGGAAAACTGGCCTTTAAGGAAAAAACATTTTTAATTTGAGAAATTGGGATGAATTTTATAAACATAAAATATACAAAAATTTATCTAATATTTGTGGATACTTTTTGAAGGAAGTTTATGGCCATTACAGGTCTTAACGATGTTGAACTCTGCCTCTATGTACAAGCACAAGTATTCTTCTAGCAACCACACTACTTTGAACTTTGGAACAATGGAAGATCTCAGTTTTGGGAATGTTACACACAATACATATACATACATGTGCATATGCGTGGGCTGTATAGCCCCATCTCTTTTTAATTCAAAAGAATCTGATTTCTCGGGTATCCTATAGTCGAAATATTCGATGCTAGTTTGTAACCATTTGTCCATGTGATTTGTTGATAGGGGCACCAAGAGACAGAGACAGAGACAGAGAGAGAGAGAGAGAGAAAGAAAATGAGAACTGAATAGAACTGTGGAACTGTGTCTGTTGTACAGCTGTGTGCGATTCGTTGAGGTTGATAATTAGTTGTAGTCAATCTATCCGAGGGGCCGCCCCAATCGCCTACCCCCGCCACCACCCCTTTGTACACTCTGCACTCCTGTACTCTCCGGTACCCCTCGTACTTTACCTATCTCTACGCCTATTGTACGCTTAAACGGTTTCTGTTTTATGAGTTGTTCTTTTTTTCCTACCTATCTATCTATCTATCTATCTCTCTCTCTGTCTTTGTTGTGCTTTTTGTGCTGAAAGCGTTTAACCGGTTTGTTTCGAAACAAACAGCAGAGAAAACCGAAAACAGAACAAGCCAAGACTGTTGGCTATCTGTTGTCTGTATATCTGTGTGTGTTGTGTGTGTGCGTGTGTGTTAACTGAATGATGAATAACGTTAGCTTTGAGGAAACAGTATCTTTAGGTTTGGTTTTCTTTTCTTTCTTTTGTAATATGAAAATAGTAGTCCTGTGAAATGGATTAAAATATCATCATTGACTTTATTTTAAAGTATTTCCAAATCAGTTGATGGCACTTTCAGTCTTATCTTCAAGATAGTTTATCAACTAAATTCATCATTAATGGAAATTGAGTACTCAAAATAGATAACAACTTTCACCGAACTTGGTCTATCTCAACATTTCAATAGTCTATTTTTGGATAATAACAATAGTAAGGCAATTAAATGGTAATCTTTTCTCTTACTACCGGGAAGTGCATTTAATTTGGCTATAAATAAACCAAAAGACTAAAGCCCCAAAACGTGTTTGAAAAGATCAATAAACAAATGCGGGGCGGAGTACTCTGCAACTAAGTGTGTTTTGAGACCCTTCAAATCTGAACTTTTATCCCAGAACTTTGTTCGTAAATACACACACACACTCGTATAAGAAGCGGTGCTCATAAATTCCAAGTGAGAGGCAGAGTGGTAAGCCCTTTGGTATCTGCTGCCTCATTTCACATTTCTTCCGCCCTGCCATCCTCCTTCCATAATGATTTTTTTTCTTCCTCAACCATAAATTTACTTTGTACGGGAGTTTTCCCCCCGCCTGCCCGCCTGCCTGCCCGCCTGCCTGCCTGCCTGCCCTTTTGGCCAACTTTTGTTTACTTGGTTTATTTTTAGTAATAGTGTGCGCCCAGATATACAGATACGCAGATACATTCAACAATTCCAGCTAGCAACTCAATTGCTGACTAGACAAAACAAAATAATAAGTACAAAAGCAACAACAACAACAACAAAAACAAAGAAAAACTACTATAACTTCCTCTCAAATTTCGCTGTCGTACTCGTACAGGAAATTTTCGTTTTGAATTGAAATAAAATGCCATGTATGCAATATGAAATATCAATGTATAAACAATCGAATGACTCAAGATAAAAGTATTTATTTATATATAAATTATGTACATACACACGGTTGGTTATATGCACAAATCATTTACAAGCTTCGTCTCAAATTCGTTGTCAAACTTGTTGAATTTGGATTTTTCGTTCCATTTGACACCTGTTGCCTCAGTGCGAATGGGTATTTCGAGATTACAAAACTCCGTTTTACAAAAGTTGAATGAATGCGAATAAATGCTACAAAATATACGATTTTATTTTAATTGGGTGTCAAAATGACATCAAAGGCATTGACACTGAAAGAAAGGGAATTCCTCAATTGCAAATATTATTTAAATATGTATTTAAATATTCAAGTATTGCTGTCCTACTCCTCTGGGACCTACGCGCCGAGCGTAAGAGCAGTGCGGGACGCCTTTGTCCTATCGCTTGATCTCATTTTTTTATCTGCATGCGAGCTTTGCCTCTCTCACGCATTGCAAGCTCTCGCCATTGCTTCCACTGCTCGCTCTCTCTCGGCAACGACAACTTTGTGTAGGGCGAGAGCAGAGGAGTTGCATATCACGAGCATCTTTCGACTTCTTCTCTCTATCGCTCTCCTGTCCTCCCAGCAAATGCAGCAGAAGCACACGAGCCAAGGAAAAACGAACGGGAGTCTAGAATTTGTTGTAATTATAAGGAGGGCCCGGCTGCCATACATACATTTATTCCTCTGGAAAGTTTTATGTAGGTGTTTCCCCAGGTGTTTTCATATCCTCAGAGTGCCTTGGAACAATTGCTCTGGCCGTCATACCAAATCGTTGTTTGGTAAATCAAACAGACCTCAAAACTCAGATCATGACAGTTCACCTACATCTTTCACATCGAAAATATACTTACAATATTTCGTCTACTGAACAACGTCGAACAGAACTTTCGGATTACTTGAAAAATCCAAAAATCGAAAAAATCAACTAAATTATAAATTCAAAGAGCAATAATGTCCTCGGGCCAAGAAGCCACTTTGCCGGAGGACCTCGGGCGTCATCTGGAGAGACTGCGGCGCACCAAACGCGAGCTGGTCGAAGAGGTGAAGCTCCTGCATAAGCGTGTGCTCAAGATCGAGAACTGCCTGGAGCTGCTTGAAGGTCGCACCGACGATCTACCCTGCACGTTCTGCAGGGGCCTGGTCTACCAGCAGAGCACTGTCCGGGCACTGCGCGAGGGGCTGTCCGCCAGCCTCGCCGTCAATGGCGATTTGTACAGCGAGGCCCATGGCCGGCTGATGAGCCTGCATGAGCAGATACGTCTGGCGGAGGGGGCTAGTAACCAAAACAACCGCAGATTCGGCGCGCCTGAAGGCTGAAGCTGGAAGACGCCTTAAAGAAGAATTTTTTCATTTTGCTCCCCCATCTATTGATATGTTTTTCTTTGTTTCAACAATACAAAACGCCCACAAAATGTCGTTTCTTATTTCGTTTCCCAATCCATCGCTGGACTGTCACTGTCATTCAACAATGGAGGTTTCCCCATAGCTCGTGCTCGTTCCCGTTCCCGTTCCCTCATTTATCATATTATTGTGCTTCTCTTCTCCCTCTCGCGCTCTTTTCTGGTTCTTCTATATGTAATTTCATAATTCTCCTTGATTAGTGTTTGTCGAGTAGAAAGCAAAGCAAAGCAAAGCAGAACGGAACTGAAGTAATACTAATGACAATAATCAGAATATAACAGAATGCGAGTGGGAATGGAATGGAATGGGAATGGAATGGTAGAATGCAAATGGAATATGTGTCACGGACCAGCTACACCTACAGTTGCGGTCAAAAAAATAGTCTTTCTGCTTAAAATATATTGGAAAGAAATAATTATAAATTGTATGTTTACTTTTCTTGGAAAGTAATAATAACAATTGATAAAAGTTGATTGTTTATCGAATGTAATGTTTGTAAAAGATATCGCAATGCTTATTGTCTTGACCTCATTTGTAGAACCATTGGACGTGATCGAATTTCATAATATTATTGTTTTTTGTTACGTTATACAGAATTGTTTGGGAGAGATGCAACTGGAGTAGATGTGAAATTCGAGAGGAATTAAATAAATAAATACGTTTGTATTCCGGTTGTATGTGGAAATGTTATGGTTAATTGTAGGTCAAGAATTTGAGAGATGTTATTGCAGCAATAAAGTAGGGAGAATAAACATTGTTTGGAATATATTTAAAGTTTATTTTTGTTTACATACATGCACAGAGATACAGCGATGAGGAAAAACTGTCAATGCTCTCCCATATCATCCATTAGTCATGGAGAAAGATATGTATATAGAAAAGGAGGTTTTACTCGAATTAAATAATTAATGTAATTACATATAATTTGGATTAATGTTTCTCTGGGGGGGACTTCTATTCTCTTTTGGGGATTCTTCCTTTAATAATAAGGAAATAAGGAAACTGGCGAGATATCACTGATGTAAATATCTGTCAGGGCCCCTTTCCTTGCTCTATTTATCCCTATTCCATTCTTATTTATTACTTATTACAATAAAATCTCATTTTGATGGAGAGTTTCCCTTGACTGGATGCAATTTTTCAATGAAAATCAATAGGGCGGACAAATTCCTCATAAAATTCCCGCTTTACAGGAAGTTTTACTCTTTTCTCTCCACTTTCCTCCTTTTACGTTCCCCCCCTCTCCCGCCCTTCTTCTTGTCACATTTCCAAACACTCATAATTTGAGCAATTAAATCATTGTATGACAAATTTACTTCCAAAAAGCAATGAAAAAAGTGCCAGCAACAACAACAATGACAAAACGAAACTGGCGGCATTGAGAAACCAACAACAACAACACACAGACACACAAGCAAAAGCAAATAAAATGCTAATAAATTGAAATAAAATTAGCAACAGAAGCAACAACAAGTAGAGGGAGAGAGAGAGAGAGAAGCACGACAAATGCGGTTGCTGTTGTTGCTTTGATATTGAATGGGGGGGAAATGTTGCTGATGAGGGGGAGGGAGCAGGCGAAGGAACACAAAAAACGCGTGTACATTGCGTTCGCATAGCAATGAGGCTGCGGAAGGGAGATGGAAGATGAAGGGGCCGCAGGAGACTAGAGCGAGCGAGCGAGAGAGCGGGTAATTGAATGGCAAGATATGGAGTAAGCGTGGGGGAACAAAAAGTGGAGCAACAGACTCAGTTAATGGTGAAAGAGCAGAAGAGTGGGATAAGACAAGGTGTATTTGTTGTACGCTCTCTGCAACTCTCTCTCTCTCTCTCTCTCTGGCTGTACGCACACGTCAAACGGAACAGAAATAGGCAACTTTCGTTGGAGTATTCTGCTCTAGCAATGCCTTACCTTATATAAATACGATACACCTTTTGCCAGTTGGCGGAAGGGAGTTGGCGGTGAGAAAGAAGAGCCGGCGGCAAAAGAATGCAGCGAGAGGATGAGTGGAGTGGTGGACTAAAAAGAGAGAAACAAAAAAGGCAAGCAAGAATCCCAGTGAATGGCGAAAGGGTGGGCGGAGTGGGGCGGGTGCGGTAAGCAGGGAGTCGGGGGAGTCGTTGACATTGTTGCTATCTTAAATTGTACCGCATGGATTGCTGTTGTTGCTTTTGTCTTTTGCCATTGCTTCTGTTTATTTGATTTTGTCATCATCTTCTGCCGACTGCCAGAGTGGGAGAGCAGCAGAATGAACATGTGGAGAGCACTAGACGACTCTTCTCTCTCACTCTCTCCGCTCGCCGTTCGCCGTTCGCCATGTCGTCTTGGTCTCGCCAAACGTTCGGCTACGGTTCGGCCTCGGCTACGGTTCGGCTCTCATTTTATGTATTACAACATTTTGTTGTTGTTGTTTTTTTGCGGCGGCGGCGGCGACATAAATTCTACAAAGATATAGTAGATACAGATACAGATACAAAGGCAGCCACAAATTACAAACACACTCAAGTACAGATACAACAGAAACGATTCACATTTGGCCCCCAAAGTGGCAACAACAACAACAGCAACAAAAGCAGCAACGGAACTCAATGATCATCATCATGATGATCTCGTGCTTGCGTGTGTGTGTGTGTGTGTGTGTGTGCTTGGCTTTTGGCGCTCATTTACGTGATTGCTTCTCTTTTTCCTACTCTTCTGCTTCTTCTTTTTCTTAGTGATTTTGATTTTTCTTCCCAATATGCAAATACTTTACATACATACATACATATGTATTTACATAAATATTTGTACTTTGAAATAGCACAACATTTGCATACGTTTTATGAATCAGTATTTTTCAACACTGCCGCTGCCGCTGCCACTGCCGCTGCCTTTTGTTTACCTGTATTTTAATTGCTGTTATTTTGAATGCCAATCGGGGGAAATTTATTTACATTTCCACTCTGTCATCACCTCAACAGATGAGAGGGGTATTTCTTGGGTATAGCCATATGGTCGGGTTACAGGGAATTTTTTAAAAGAAAAACCTATGGTGAGGGTATCCCAAAAAGAAAGAAAATGCCACCTTTCAAACGGGGAAATGAGAATCGATAAATCGATGTTTTATTTCACGAAAATTGTATTTCTTCTGCAGCATACTCTTACATACAAATTAAACAACTGCGGTAGCGGATTGTGTTTTTAAAAAGTTTTTATTTTACTTCGAACTTCACTGATATAGATTTAAGTAGAGGGTCACAAAGGAATTCCGGGCCAAGGGATTGCGCGATCTTAATATTTAGCTAGACTTTGCGGTGTCGCTGCTGGATCAAGACTGATTTGAACTTTCTGATCTTTGCATCGTTGATCCCTTTCGGGAATCGTTTTTCTATAAACATTTCAATTGATTTCGCCATCCCGAGTATTAGATTTCGTCATCCAAAGAGAGAACTGTAAAAGGCCTAAAGTGCAGGATCTGCAGAAAGCCGGGAGTGAGATTGTTTATGAGAAGCCGGGTGTGGGCAAACATTGGTTTTCCATTTAGGCGAGTGTCAAAGAATGGGATTGCGGCGGGGGCGCTTGAGATTGTACATCTTAGAAATCAATTAGGCGGAGGCCCAAGATTGAAATTGTTTTCGTTTTGGAAAACCAAAGATTGTTTACAACTCGTATAAGAGCTCAATGGAATTGGGTACGTTAACTCCCCCCATTCTTAAATGTTTCGTCCCGATACATTTTGAAGTTCTGATAGAGCTCTAATTTCTTCTGACAGTATTTGAATGTTGCTTTCCACTATTTCTTCTGACGGTATTCTTATTGATTTAATAAGTACAAATTTGGTTAATTTATAGCAGAAGTAAAATAACATTAACAATATCAAAATGATTAAAAATAATGTTGTTAATGGTAAGGCCGTATTACCTAATGTTATAAGGGGATTTAAAATATTAACATTATCAAAAGAAAATTGCTTATCATTTGATTGTATATAATCAACTAATTCAAAATCGCTATATCTATGATGCGATATATATTTTAGAATTTTACCCTTATCATTTATGTGGCTTATATTATTTATTACAATTGTGTTGTTGAATATAAGGAGATACGATCCTAACAAAGTAGTATTGTCTACGATATTTTTGCCTGAAACTAATATGGCACCATCCTGAATGATGTCTATTTCTTTGTTTTTTTTCCCTTTTTTTAGTGCAGTTGGCTTTAAAGCCATTAAGTAAATTGGTGAAACAGGTACTCTTTAAATTTATTTGTGCGTAATTGTTAAAAGTTTCACTTTTAAAATTATTCATTAAATAGTATTTCTCCTTACATTCACAAACTTTTTCACTTATAACTAACATTCCATCATTTTGTGAGATGGCTCTTGCATGGTAAAACTTGCAAATATCTTTAATTTGAGGATATTTTATGTAAATGATTATTAAATCTGCATTTCGAATTATTTTAACCGTTGCAATGTCCAACAGATCAGACAGTTCAACATTATGTTTTTCATGCTTATAAATGTCCTCTATTTCGTTTTTATTTAAAATTTTTGTATTGAAAATGTTTACTTTTAAGAGGGTTATGGTATCAACTAAATTTAGTAGGTCAAAAGTTATTAATTTTAAACGATGCTTTCTCAGTATCGTTTCTTCATTGAAGATGACATTCTTTAATGAATTTGATAGCAATTCAATTTCTTTGAAAAATTTGGAATTTATTACAAATTGTTTATTATTATTTTCAGTTAATTCATTTACTTTATTTTGTATTTTCAAAAAGTCGTCATGATCAGGGCTGCCTGCTATCCATTTCCAAATGGTACCTAATTCATTTATTCCCCTTTCTTTCCGTTTTGGAACTAATTCTGAAATCATTAATTTTAATAGACTTAAGTCCATTGATATTTCCCACTCATCGTCTGAATTAATTGATT